CAGCCACAGACTACAATGTTTTTTGAAGGGATTTTATAGACCATCACAAAGCAGAGCATAATAAGGTTTAAGTAAAACAATACTTTTCTCTCTCTTTTTTTTTTAGTTTTTACAAATATAAATCTATAAATTGTTTAATCCATAAGTATTCCACCCCCACAAGTCAATAAACACAAGCTCTGTCAGATTTGATGAAGATGGTCTGGAAAGAGCAAGACGGAGTTTAGTGTTGTCACGATTTGACTACGCCTTCCTGCAGGAAATCAGCTTCATTTTTCTGCATGTCTTTATTTTCTGCATCAGCAATCAGAAGACAGTCACAATATGACAAATCCTCCCACACGTAAACGCCTAACAGCTCCCTAACCTCCTGCTGGCCGTCTTTGCTTTCCCCTTTCATTTCATTAATTAACCTGTTTCTGAACAAACTGCCTGACAAATTGCCAGCCAGTTGACTGTCCTCAGTATACAATAGACTTGATTAAATGGGCGGACATTTTTATAGGTGACAAATGGTTGCTGTACCAACCTGCATCTCGACTTGTGATGAGTTATTGATCCCCTGTTTCACCCACCTCCAACCCCCTCGATACCCAAATCAGGAGTTTATCCTGCAGCATTGAGAGAGGTAGTGTTTAACAAGATTAGCTCTCTTTCAAGCTGGTAAAATACACTTTAAAAGATTCAGAGAAAACCTATGATGAAACCCAAGAGGAAGTTTCCATTCTGATGTGATTTTAAAAGATGTATTGGTAAAGTGGTTCAACTTTTATTTCTCAAAACATTTTTCACTCTTGAAGGTGAATTTAGCCTATCATAAGTTCCAGGAGAATTCCAGGAGAAATAATCAATATTTTTACATCAATTTCTTATATCTATTGTGCTTTCCATGAGCTACAACATGAGGTCATAAAGCAAGGAGAGTAACATTTTACCTGTGTGCACGAACAAAGTTGAAATTGTAGCTTTGCTATCTAGAAGACAACATTTTTTGGACATGCTGTACTATTGAAACAATTATTTTTACACTATTTTTCGATTGTTTGACGGGATGCAGAATATCCTGAAATATATGTAGATATATAAATTAGCAACCAAACTAAGGTTGTCTTGATGTGGTGATCCTAAATATGAAAAATGGATCATCCAGTCATCCAGTCTCCACTCTTTGTTTTCTGTTCTGGAGTTGATTCAGCAGATTCTTCTGTCCAAACTGAAATCCGTCTTGTGGGCCTGAACCTAAAGCGAGTCTGCAGAGAACACACACTGTTCTATGGGATCCACGTTTCCCTCATATTCTGCAGCATTTCATCTGGACTTTGTGTTACCATGAAGCAACCTGGAACGTGTTACTCGTGAGGTTCAGTTTGTACCATCAGCAGAGTTCACATGAGCCAGTCTCAAGCCTATCTGGAGCATAGCCATATACAATAAATTAGGATATTATTGAAAATTGAATTCATTTAAAGTTTCAATTCACTGAGTGAAACATATTATTTAGATAAATGGCACATTGTTTGACCATCCACAGGAGTTTGTTTTGTTTTTAATTTGTGTTTGCATTTGGTTCATTTTCAAGTCTTCCCATATTCAGTTAACGTCTCTGTGTTTGTTTTTGTTTGAAGGGACTTGACATGAGCTAATTCCTTTGTTCTGTGCAAATTTAAATGTGTTTTTCTTAGGTTATTGTCATCCTTTTTCTCTTTTTGGTTTCCAGATCCCAGCTCAGCTCCCTCTATGTTCATTAGTCTTTTCCCCTCAGTTTTCCTGCTTTCTGCACATTTCCTCTGATTAGTTCATCTGGCTGCTTTGTCGTTTTCTACCCCTGCCTCAAATTTTAAGCTCCTGGTTTTTCAGCGTTCAGTAATATTCACTAACCTCAGTCATGATGGACTGATGGTTTTAAACATCTGTTTCTGGTAATTACAGTGATTTTTTAAAAATGTACTGCGGAAGAAAAATATAATTTTCATGTCACATCAGACTAATTACCACAGCTTAGTGAAAATTATGTCTAATATCTTTTTGAAGGCTCTTGTTTTGTAAAAAAAAAAAAAGTCTACTTTTATAGCACTTAGAAAGCTAAGCGCTATAAAAGTAGACCATTTATTTTTTATCATTTTCAATCTGAGAAACATCGGTCTGATTTATTGAACTAATAGTTGTGTACTTTATAAACCAGTAGCAAAATATTTGAGATTGTCCAACAAAATACAACCAGAGCTACCATAAAATGATATGGATCATGAAGAATATTCTTGTAGAAAAATGATCCAGTCAAAGTATATAAATGAGTATCTGTGGCAAGCCTTGGAAACTCCCTCCATCCCCCCCGAACTGAGCTATTTTGTAGAGAAAAATGCACAAAAATATCAGTTTCAGTTTTAGCAGGATATCTTCCAACCAAGTGTTGAATGTGAGAGACGGAATTCAAATGCTTACCATCATATTGAGATCTTTGTTTTAAAAAGCGTTTTAAAAAAAGATGCGATTTTCCTTCTGCTTCACAATGATTCATCAGTCTTCTATACTCTCTTGTCCTTGCAGGACCACGGGTGACTGGTGCCTGTCTAGTCATTTGGAGAGAGACAGGTCACACCTGGACACACAATACACAGGACACACAGGATACACAGGACACACAATCATGCATGTACACACTCATCATAGCAACACAAAGACCAATTAACCTACCTGACATGTTTTTGAAATTTCACCCCAGCAGAAATCCCAGGCATTGATAACGTGCAAACTCTGTGCAGAAAGACAGACCCCATGCAGAGATTTGAACTCAGATTGGGACTTTCTTGATGAAGCCTGTCAGGTTCAAACAACCTAAAACATTTAAACACTACACAAAAAAGGAGAAAGACAAGCGAGTTTAAATTTTCTTGCAAGAAAGACGGACAGGAACCTGCTTACCATCTCCAATCCGCCCTAAATACATATCTTATTCTGTTATCTCAAATCAGTTCCATAGGTTGCCGCTTCTGCAGTTATTTCTTCTGCTATCTTGAGTGCAGACTGACGGCTCAGTTCAGCTCCCGTTGATTCCTTCTGCTGCAAGGCAGGAGCTGAAAACTCACTGAACACATCAAACACAGTGAATATAAGATCACAGCAAACATAAGATAACATACTAAATATTTCTAACAAAGCTCTTGTTTTATAGTCATTCATGACCTCATTTACATATTACATCACTTAACGATCCATTAAAATACATTGAGTTAAAAGAAGACATGGCAACATTACAGACAATCCTGCAGCCAACCAGCCTGATTAGCTTAGTTCAGATTAGAAAACCTCTGACTGGAGGGTCTCTTCTTGATACATATTTAGTTTAAATCTGCCCACTGGTGGCCTGATATCAGTATTACATTCCTAAGTCCTATTTCAACAGTGATCATTAAATGTTCTTAAATGTTGTATTTAGAAATCAAAAGCAGAACATCTAAAACTCTGGGTTGCTCTCTCCTTTTCTGAGTCGACCACCATCTTAAATTGCTAATACAAAAGGTAAGTTTTTCCATTTACTCTTTTAAATGAGTAAATGGAAATACTGGCTCACAGTTTAGCAGATGGAAATGAACACTGTTGGCTGGACTCAAGCCACGTTGTTTAAAATATCCACTTTATTAAGAAATAGTAAGAACATTACAACAACCAGGTTCATTAGGTTTAAACTGCAGCTCCAGATTTTGTACACTAAACAAAAACAATCAAAAATAACCAGCTTGAAACACTAAATATACTAAATATTTTAGACCCCATTAAGAAGCAGTATTATGAAAACCCATTTTCTGCCAGTGTTGTTTCATGATGTGGGCATTTTGCTACGCAAGGATTACTAAGAAAAGCATATTATTGCAAAGTTGAGTAAAAGGAAAGGTAGAAAATGAAGCAACAGGGACACAGACTTGAATTGACTGCAAAGCAAAATCAAATTAAAAGTTTCAGGGAGAATTGCAAGGCATGGAGGCAGAAATGCACATAAAATATGAGTTCCACTTTCAGAAATAAGATGTTCTTGTATTTATATAAATTACATTTTCTAAATCTAATTTTGATCCTGGTTCGGTTAGCTGTTATTGTGGTAATTTGCTGACATAATCAAAACTCCCCACCTCACTTTCCTGCCTGGGTGATTCTTTCAGTTCCAGCCCCTCCTCCCTGACAGTTTTCCATGGTTCAATTACATTTCCAGAAGTGTTTGCACACAAACACTTATGCAATTTAATGTGGCCCCACGCACATCAGCTTGTACATCATGTTTACTCGGCATTGATAATGCTGAAAAGCAATAGGTTGTCCTTTGCATCTTGATTATTTCATTATTTTATTTTATTTGTTGTTTTTTTTTTTTTTTTTTTGTTGCAGTTTTGCTCTTTATTATCCTCTGTCTGATCCCCTTTTCTGCAGAACTACTGAGCCCATGACATCATAGGACCTCCTGACTCTCTTGACTGGGATTAATTCAGATTAAGTAACACATACACACATACTGGCGCCCTCTTTCAGTCTTTCTTTCACAATCACTCACAAAAGCTAACTGTCTGAAAGGTCTTTGACTTTTGTTATTATTGTGAAATATAAATGATCGGCAAAATTAACAGTAACTTTTGATATCCAAATTTTAATACATTGTTTGATAAGAAGACTGGAAGGTGTGAACTTTAGTAAGTCTAAAATTTGTATAAGATATAAATAAACAATGAAACTAATAAAATTGTCCTACTTTTTTATTTACAGTTTTCATGTCAGATTTTATGCATTTTCTTTTTCTTTTTTTTTTTAAATCAATTTAAACTAAAGAGAACATTTCATATACTTATAAATGTAAGTGCACTTATGGGTGCGTTTCTACGTCACTTTTCCGAGAGAAATTCAGATTTAATCCTCGTGATTCAGCAGCAGCTGGAGGTTCTCATGCACAGCCGCTGCGCGCGGGCGCGTGCACGCCGCTGATTGGACGAGCGCGCTCGGACAGGGCACGCGGACAGAGCGTCAGAGCGTCGGTGCAGAATATCTCGCCCTGAGCTTTACCTTGATTTATTTTCTTTTTACAACTTTTTTTTTTTTTACCCCCGCCCCCCAAAAAGTAAACTTAATTATTAATGAAGAACAACCGAGTTTGACGCTTGTTTGTGAAAAGTCCCACATCGAGGGTGAGTGAATTCTGCTGATATTAAAAGATAATGCACTCTTATAGTTTAGGGATTTAATGCTGTTAAACTCATGAGTGTCGGCTTACTTGCCGATTAGTTTTGGTTTGTGTGATATCAGCTCTTGGTCATGTTCAGTTCGGTCTGTCTGTCAGTATTGGAAACATCAGTGACTATTCATCATGCAATTCTCCTCCATTCTTCAGTCTAGTCTAAATATTAAATAATATTATTAGTAATCAATCAATGATACATAAACAATACATTATATGTATTAAAGTATTACATCTAAATTAAATATTAATGGATTATTTATATATTTTTTACAGTAAATCTTAAGTTTAATTTTTCCCTGGAGCTTCAATGATGACAAAGAAAGATTACCACAGCCAAGGAAATAAATCTGAAGTTTTTCTAAAATTCGCAGTTGTATGTAGACCACCTATCAATTTTACAATTTGCTTTTTATCATAAACTGCAAGATCTTGTTTGATATCTGAATAATAAGGAGATTTGTGTATTGTATTCTAATTATCTTTTGGTTGTTTCTCAGTATTTCACAACCTAATCAGATAAACACAACCTTCAATGTGTAATTATGTGACTTCTGGATATGTACATATTTTACATGTCATAAATTGTGCAACTTTGTAAATTTTTTTTCTTTAATCAGAAAACATCCAGAATTTCATTTTTTGTGGATTTTAAATCTGTTTTTAAACTTTCCCCTCAACAAAATGTGTGCACTGCTGTTACATGGTTTGAGGCTAAAACTATTTGTTTACTTTCATTACATAGTTTATGTTGCATTACATAAACATTACATAGTTTATACGTGTTAAATATGGTGATCTGATGAATAAGGAAAGACTTTGCAGATATCATTGCAGCAGTAAACAAACCAAAGGATGGATAAGGTGATCACAGGGTTTGACATGCCCTGATGATTTGGAGGTTAATCCCTTTTTTTATTTTCTGAGCTCCCATGAGGCCGTCAGGAACACTGCTGTGTTTTAGATTCAGTTTGATACAGTTGTTCTCAACAGAGTGACATTGGTTAGCCGCTGCTTGTCATGGCTGTGAATGTCCTACATAAAGCAGGAAGTGGATGCTGTTCCATTCATAGCAGCTATGTTGGCACTTTTAGATAAAGCGACTTTGTATCGAGTGGCAGAGCATGCATGGCTCAGGATTTTTTAGGGAAGTATGTTGTGGAGGGATGGTGGTTTCTTTATAAAGACTATTGTTACAAATGCTTAATGTTGCACAAGATTATGTTTTTACAATGTAGCATAAAAAATAATCTTTTCTACATTAAGGACAGGGAAGCTGGTCAGAGTTTGTATGAAGATGGACTTATAGGGTAATCCTAAAAGAAAACTTACTATATGCTGAAACGGAAGCAGGGAATTGACTCTAAAGATAGAGTCTGAGCCATAATTGAATTGTTTAATTCAAAGAAAATGCATATATTTGAAGAACTAGTCAAAGTCCACCGATAAGTTCAACTATCAATCTGTTTCCAGGCTTGAAAAGTGAGGTTTGCATCTTTCTCTCTCCAACCTGACTGAGCTGCAGCTGTTTTGCAAAGAAGAATGGACAAATAAAAATCACTTTGGACTTGCAAAGCTGAATGACAGACCTTCAAAATACTCACAGCTGTAAAAGCAAAACAGTACAAAGTATAATCAAAAGGGGCTTAAAGGTACAGTCTTCTGATCTTATTTGCAAAATTTAATTTAAAAAGATGACTTTTCCTCCCTTTTTCTATCACTAAGACTTTGTGTCGATCTGTCACCAAAAATCTCAGTTAAATACATTAAAGCTGGAGAAAGAAACATAATAAAATGTCTAAAAGTTCAATGGCTATAAATACTCAAGGCATCTAAACTAAAGCCTCGAAGGTGTTGGAAAAATGATGATCTAGTAAAGCATGAATCCTTTAACCTTCAGTTTTGAAGGTAAGAGTTTTAGGCTGAAATAAAAGTTTTGGGACAAGCTAAAACTGAGCAGTTGGGATGAGTTCAGAAATTATGATCTTATTTAAAAAAAAACATACAGAATGGATGTTTAAGTTGAGTATGACAAACTTCATAAACATATTTTAGGAAGTAAGAAACCTTTTATGTGTAATCTTTGTTAGGAAACCTTCTAGTAATTGAACAATGAGTTGCATGTAAGTTATTTGTAATATTCAAGTGAAATCTAAATAGTGCCATATTCCTCAATATTTTGTTTTTATTCGTTTATGTGTCTTGGGTGTCTTCTGAACTGGAAAAGAATTGTGTAGAGTTTTAACTAACATTGCAACCTGCAACATCTTAACCCCCTACGGATTAAAACTTGGTCTTTATCTCTGCACGCAACTGAGGGAGACGCAGCAGCAGAAATAGTTTCAATTAACAAATTAAAGACAGATGCCAACATGACTTCATGTTTGTTTTTATTGTAGGATGCGGAGAAAAGCATTTGTGCCAGCATGTGTGTTTTTTTTTTAAGTTACCAACTCCCTCTATCCCTTTAATCAGACTAATCTTAGTCTAGCATAAAAATTGTTGACTCTTTGTATATTTTGGGGTTATTTAGACTAAGTGCTGACATGATTTGAGTCTTTTTGTCGGTTACAAAAAGACTCAGATCATGAGGATCACCTGGGATCCCCATGAGCTCTGGCATTATGGGTAGATTAGTATTTTAGTTTTGAGAAGTTTTAAGTTTTAAGAATTTAATGGAAGCTCCTGTTACAGTTTTTAAACAGATTGAAGAGAGGGGATTTTGAAGGTCTTATGTTTATTAATTGTATTTTAGATGTTTGAGTTGTATATATGAAGCACAAAAACTGTCTGATTTGTGAGGAGAAATTGCGTAGATTAGCTAAACTTCAAAGAGATGAAGAGAAATGTGTTCAGCATTGAGCCATGTGACTCTGGGAGACAGATCGCCAATATGTGGCCTGGTTTCTGACCTTCACTGATCAATATTAGGTATTGATGTGTCCATTGTGGCTTCACTCTTCTGTCTTTTACATATGTGCCTGCTTGTTGAGTCAACTCTTCCTTCATCAGCCTATTTAAAACAATCAAATACTTCAAATAGTTTGTAAATATGCATTAAGTCAAACTGTTTGCGTTTGAAGCCAGGAAATGTGACAGATTAGGTCAATTAACATTAGCATAAAACAGAGAGTGCTGGATGAAACTTATTCAAAACCAGTTCAGCAACTCTTAAATCCGATGCTGTGCATAAAATCTTTATAATCTGGATAAATCTTTAAAGATCAGTAGAAGACATGTCCTTTAAAAATAATAATAATAATAATACAATTTTACAAAACAACCACAGAAAAAACAAAAAAGTCGACAAAACACAATGTGACGCTTATTTTTTTTTCAAGAAATAGGTTTTTTTTTAATTCAACTATGAATCTGCTACAATATGAAAATGCAAAAAAAAAAAAAATTAACTAAAAAAAGTTTACTGCCTTATGCTTTGTATTACTTTTTCTATATTCATTATCACCATCCAGTCTGGTTTATATAGCATCCTGGATTTGGTGATATTTGGCAGCTAATTCAAAACTTTAAATTTGAAACATCCTCAACCTTTGTGGGGTTTTTTTTCTTTATGTATAATTGAAATTACAGTGATAATTCACTTTTGATTTCTAGCAGGTACCCTAATGCAGCATCTGCTTTTACTTTTACTCTTGTCCTCACAGATCTCTGTACAGTGAAATGATGTTACCCCACCTTAATCCAGCCTCAAAGTGTTTTTTGAAAGGAACCATAAAAAAGACTGGAGGCTGAACCGATCCTTCTTTTTGCTATCAACTAATACGATAATAATAGCAATTAACCATTAGTTAATAGTATTTTTGTTAGTTAAGCTGATCAGTTGTACAATAATTAAATGTGTTTAGACTTGTGAAGCGTTGTTCACTTTTAATGTCATCGTAATACATCAACAAATGAAAGAAAATATGACAACATGAAGAAAAACATAATACTTTAACATTTTCTCTTTTCCTCGTGGCTTGACTCTGGGCATTAGAGCACATCGGCTTCTCTTGAACAATTGTCCAATGTACCTTTCCATGAATGTTCTTGTGTCTGGAGTAGTTTGAGATATTTGCCACCTTGACACGATAAGCTGTTGCAGCAGGACTCTCTCATAGCGCCAGTGCTGTAAACAAACGCATGATCATCCCTCATCACCTCCTCCAACCACTCCTGCTGGTTGTCCAGTGGCAGATTGCAGACCTGAGAGATTGTTTATTTGGCAGTTTCCTGGATGGAAGGATACATAAGACACCAAGGTCACAACAGCCTCCTCATGCATTTGTTCATGAAGATTTCTTAAGTAAATGCAGCTGGCCATAAAATGACTATTTTAGAAACAATAAGACTTCAAAATGAAGACATCACTCTAAATCAATACTTTTTTTTCAATTCAACTTTTGAACCCAAGTCTTTTTAAGTATTTACTGCATTTATAAAATAACAGTGATACAGAATTTAGCCTTAGGCATAACATTTGTGTTTTCTTCAATATGTTGAATCTCTGCAACTGGGTATCAAGTTGTTTGTTCTTCTTATGATTCTTATTTTGTGTGTTAATTTACCTTACACTGCATATTTTAACCAGACTCTTTAATTCAGTGTTTTTTTTTCTTAAGCTAAATCCGATGTATGTTTATATATACCATACCGTTTGTTTTTTTTATGTTTATATTTGTTATGCAAGTAAGCTGAGGATTAGCAAACCCTGCTGTGAACATTACACAAGTCAGGAGTGCAGCTGTAATCCCTCGCACATCAACACGTCTCATCACCCCCTCATCATCTCTTGGAGACAGTTTGTCCTGGTTCTTCGTCTCAGCCCCAATCTCAGTCTGCTGGCAATTAAGCCGCCAACCCTGTCTGTCAAATGGTCGGTGTTGTGCTCCCTATAAGATTTTACAAACTTCTCACATTTATCGTATTACAGCCACATAGTTTTTTCACAGCACATGTGGTAGAAAGCTGTGGGTTACATCCCTTTTACGTCAAAAAGCCTTGAACAGTTTTGGCAGAACAGTTCGTTTCTTTTAAGGAAAAACAAGATGTTTGATAAATTTCTGTTTGGCTTTGAAAAGCTCCACAAAAACTGCTCTAATTAAAGTTAATAGAGACATTTTAATGTCAGCTGTCTCCTGAGCATCCGCTATAATGGTTGTCCTGAATCGTACATCTGCTTTTCACGTTGTAAATCATACAATATCTGCACAACACTTCCACAAAATAAAAGTACATACTTTTTGTTGTCATTTTCTATAAAAATTTAATAAAAGGTGTATTGAAAACTCAAACCAATGCTGTTCTTTAATTTAACAAGCTAAAGAAATTTCTTATTGGAGGCATTTAAAAAAATCAAGCCATTTAGTTTCAAAGATTTCTATTGTGGTTCTAAATAAATTTTGTAATTCTGGGCCAAAAGGAAAAATGAAAAATGGGAATGGCTGCTGATCCTTTTCATCGGGAGTCTGAATACAAATACAAATTTTAATTCATAAAACATTTGAAAATCAAGAGTTATGCTATTTTGTGTTGGTCTCTGTCAACAGAGAGAAAAATAAATAAAAAAAATACCACAATGATGCCTGTGATTATAATGTGACAAAATTTAAAGCAAAATAACATGCTAAGGTTAAATAAGCAGAGAGATTTAGTGTTAATGTTTTTCTTCACAGCCTGTGCCTGCATGGATTCTTGTGATGAACTTATTCTTCACGGTTAGGACTGCCGACAGAAAGATAAACCAATCAGCAGATGTGAGAAACCTGCAATGGAGCACTGGTAGGAATCATCCTTATCAGTAATCTTATTATGTGTCATATTATGTCGTAACTTTTAAGAATTTAATGAAAAGAAAAATAATTCTGACGGAGCTTCACTCTGCTTTTTTAAGATTTTGCTTCATAAGTTTTCTCTGGCAAACTGTATTTTAACAGATGCATTTCTCACATTTAGACTCCTATTGTTTGTCCCAATTTATTTTCAAGATTGGCTGCATGTTAGGCCTGACGGTCCACACCAGAGGAGCACAAATCCAATCCTGGCGTCTGATTAAAGGGAACTGGACAAACAGCAGACTGCCCAGTGATCCTTCCCTGCTTCACATCAAAAATTTGCTTTTACTGATCATGTCTAACAAAGCAAGGTCAACGCGCAATTCAAGATGAACCCTTATGTCATTTCTCACTTCAGGCAGGATTTATTCCCCCATTTTTATTTGTTATAAACCTGTATTTTTCTGTATTTGCACAAATATCAATGCTGCTGCTCTCTGTTGCTTTGGGTAGTTTTTGTATTTTTAGTGGTATGACTTTTGGTTCTGAGGTCATTTTTTGACCAAGAGCCTTTATTTTCATATAAACTTGTTAAGCAAGGTAATTCAACAAGCACATTGTCATTTGCACGGTATATTTGCATAACAGTTTTAATTTAATCTTAATGATTCATTTTAAAAATGTAGTGCATGTTGTTTTTTTTAAATTCTCAAAAAAAAAAATTTTTTGCTGTCTTCGTCAAACAACGAAGACTTAAGAGATTTAAATCCACAGAAATGTTTTCCCTTCATGGCAGCTTATTTTTCAGTAATTTGTCTATCTTCTGCTAATGCCAGCTTTCTCACCTGCGCTCAAATGCTGAGAACTTTAAGAAGGTGATCTGTGTACTTACCTTTATTTGACATTTGAGTTAGTCATTTAGAAACTTAAAATGATTGGTTTCTCTTGAGATAGATCATAGTAATCTTTCCTTGTTGTTTTCTTCCCCACTTTTGTCAGGTGTTAAGGGATTTTCCAGTCATAATGCAGTTTTGTAATGAGGTACGTCCGTTCTGAGGTGTTGTCTCCTGCCGGTGATCATTAGAAGTAGAAGTCTAAACATTAATATTTGCAGTAAAACAGTTCACAATGTCCACCAAACAGATCTGTAGTCTTTTAGGAAGTAAATGTGAGATAGTGAAAGCTGTGACATGATCAAGTAAGGAATAATGACCTTATATAACATTTAGTTGGGCTTTTACAGCAAAAGTGACCTTCCTACTTATCAATTTATTAAAACAGTTCAAGTGAGCTACACTTTTAGTTTTTATGGTTTGTATTTACTTTTTTGTGATGACATATCTAGTCTAAAACAGGACTTTTATTCTGCTGTCTTTTTTTTACCTCACGCTATTTCCAAGTGGATGTAAACCTGGAAATATCTTTCATCGTAAGACTCTGCATGATTTTTACTTCTATTTTTCTGCATGTTATTTTCTGGAATAGTTTGCTCAAACAGAAGTGAAATAGGTTTTGTTTTGCTCTTATTTGCATTGTTATGAAATGTATGCCATCATGAGCTTAGTGATCTTAAAATGCTTCTATTTGCATTACCCAACTGCAATGCAGTTTCAGTTTATATTCTTCATCAAATGATGCCTGCTCCAAACCTCTACACCTTCTTATTGGTTTAAACTGAACATAACCAGCCCTGCATGCTCTTGTGTCGCATGCTGAGGTCAGTTCTCCCCTGAAACACCCGGAATGAACTTTCACATGAACGCAGTCGCAAAATAGGGACTCCTTGGCTTGCTTTTGTCAACCTCCACTTCAGATTACCTGATTTTATTTACTTCAAAGATTGGGTCTACCAATGAATATAATTACATAAGGTCCCACTTTTTCTGAACAATTGAACAATTATATACTTTGGAAAACCAAACAACCGGTTGTGGATGATGAAACAAATGCCTGTTTGGATTGGTGGTCATTGCTTGGATCTAATTTTTTAAGAAAGACTGGAGGACTTTGAGGGTAAAACCCTTTAATAAATCTACTGACTATACCAAGCCACACTGAGACATACAGAGATTTTACTTCAGATGATGGGAGCGGCACGTGTCAAACGTCGCTTCAGTGCTGTGGTGGATGGGCCAGTGGAGGAGGAGGAGGTCATGAGGCTAGCACAAAGTGCAAGGGCAGGAGAGAGTCCAACTGGGTCAGGAAGCCCAACCAGCTCATCTCCACTCCATGCCCTGAATGGCAAAGCTCTACCTCTTCAGTGCAACACAAACAACGCACAGACGCAGAGTGCTGTGGATGAGCCAGCTGGTGGAGATGCTGGAGGAGAAAGCAGAGTGAGAGCAGGAGGAATGTGCCCAGGTCCAAGGAATACCAAAGGCGGTAGTGAGGGTGGGAGAGTGGAAAGATGTTCTTCAGCAGACCAGGATTCCCTCTCTTCCCCCTCCACTACCAGCCGGCGTCGCACCAAGCGCTCAAACCGCCGGCCCCGACAACGCTTTGTGGGCAAGGACGGACGCTGCAACGTCACCTTCGTCAACATGAGCGAGAGGGGCCAGCGGTACCTCACCGACCTGTTCACCACGTGTGTGGATGTACGATGGCGCTGGATGCTGGTCATCTTCACGCTCTCCTTTATTCTTTCCTGGCTTCTCTTTGGCTTTGCCTTCTGGCTCATTGCCTCTGCACATGGTGACCTCTCCATTCAGATTACCCCCAGTTCCGGTTCTTCTCCCGGATCAGGAGACGCCGGCTCTGGAGGAGAGTCTGATAGAGATACAGTGGTAGAGGAGCCATGCTTCCTACAAGTAAACAGCTTCATGGCAGCCTTCCTGTTCTCCTTGGAGACGCAGACATCCATCGGTTACGGATTCAGAAGCGTGACCGAAGAATGTCCCCTGGCAGTGTTGGCGGTCGTTTTGCAGTGCATCGTGGGCTGCATTATTGACGCCTTCATCATTGGGGCAGTCATGGCGAAGATTTCCAAGCCCAAGAAGCGCAACGAGACTCTGGTGTTCTCTGATACTGCTGTGGTGGCCCTGAGAGACGGAAAACTGTGCATGATGTGGAGGGTGGGAAATCTACGGAAGAGCCATCTGGTTGAGGCGCATGTCAGAGCACAACTACTGAAGGTAAGCACAGAAAAGATGAACTATAAAAGATGAACTATAAAAACAATAAAAACTAAACTTGGACAGTTTTGCATGGTGTACCAAATTATGAAGGTGGACTTAACAAGAGATGGGTTAAAGAGAAACAGAGGGAGGAAGAGGGGCAGAGCGAGAGAGAGTCCCGAGACCATCTGGCTTGTATTCTGCCAAGGCCCAGTTAATGAGAGTTTGTTTTATTCTCCTCTAGCGTTTGGAAGATTTGCCATGGATTAACTTGCCTACAATTCCTTTACTGAGAGCCATTGTCCTTCATCATCCCATTTCCCCTTGCATATAGTGGTAGAGGACTGTTCTTTGTCAATAAATATAATTCTTTAAAGGCTTTTATTTAGTACTTTTCAATGTTTTTACATCATCGCTTTGTGTACACCTGTGCATGTCTCCAGATATTCCTTTTGAAAGTTTTCTTGAATTTGAAGTATTTGTGCCTAAAAAAATACTTACTCTTTCTCTGTTTTCCTAAATCTGTTTTCAGCCAAGGGTGACACCAGAGGGGGAGTATCTGCCACTCGACAATGCAGACATCAACGTGGGTTTTGATACTGGCACAGATCGCATATTTTTGGTCTCTCCCGTGACTATAGTGCACGAAATCAATGAAGAGTCACCTTTTTTCGAGATAGACAAAAAAGCCTTGAAGAATGACTCTGAATTGGAGGTGGTGGTCATACTTGAAGGGATGGTGGAGGCCACATCGATGACAACACAATGCCGCAGCTCCTATCTGGCTTCTGAAATCTTATGGGGACACCGTTTTGAACCTGTACTGTTTGAGAGGAAAAACGGCTTCCAGGTCAGAAAGGAGAAATAATACATTACTGTCCTTAGAAATGCTTGGCAGCCTTGGTAAAGGTTAATGGTCCCTGGAAGCTTGTTTTTGAAATACCAGGATAATATAAAGATAAATGTTTATTAAATTCAGACATTAAATCAGCTGTCTTCCATGTCCATCTCAGTTCCCAGACTTAAATCTGATAGAAAATCTGTGAAATGAGCTGATGTCTGCGACTCTTGATGATGTAAAATTTGACATCTTAGACAAAAAGTCTAAATGTTTGCTTATTGGCAAAAAGTAACTGTTTAAAGTATTAACAGCCATGGTGCCAATGATTGAGGCACTAATAGTTTAGTAAAACAACAATAATTTCCTATTGTCAAATTTTATTTCAATTGAAATGATTGTACTTAAATTAAAGACATCAAGAGTCCAACATCTTTCAGATTTTGATTTTACTAATGCTTCTCCTACACTACAGGGAAATATTTTTGTAGTTTTTGTGTTCTATTGGTCAAAGGAATATTTTTTTTCTAATCTTAAAACAAAAATGACCTATCTTTTGCATTTGTGCTCCTTAGACACATCTTAATGAGAATTAAACTAACGAAACTCTCATTTTTTTCTAGGTTGACTATTCATTTTTCCACCGGACCTACGAAATCCCAAACACTCCGTCATGCAGTGCAAAAGAGCTGGCCGAGCAGAGGTACATCGGAAGCTCATGCTCGTCCTTTTGTTACGAGAATGAAGTGGCCCTGGAGCTCGCCTCCCCAGATGAAGAAGCAGATCGAGAACATGGCTGTTCTCCCCAACCCACCCGAAGACCATCCCTGCAAGAACATCTTCACTGTAACTAAGCATGGAGAGTTGCAGTCTGCTGAACAGAGAACAGGCAGAGCTTCAGGGGAAAACACAAAAAAGACAGAGTCAGGCAAGTTTATTTGGGCAGACCAAGCAAGAAGTGAAAATCAACTATTTAAGCATTGCCAGATTTGTTAGATTTACATGGGAACCCAGTGTTAAACACGAGAGAGAGGAAAAAGTTAGAGAAGGGTTTGGGGAGTTTAGTCACAGCTCTGACCTAGTTGCCTGATTGGGCCTGGCGGTCTTTCAGAATCATTGAAAACTTGTTTAAGTCTCACAACTGGCCCATCACTTCCACAGCACAGTCATCTGACTCTAATCCCTGATCAGAAGGATGTGCAGCAGCTCCACCTGCTGGCTACAACTCGCCACTGGCTCTCAGTGATTCTGGACTGGAAAAAATAGCTTCTCTTTCAGCTGCTGTTGTGACATAAGTTTGTTGCTACTCAGGAATGCATTTTCAAAACTATGCTGACTTATCACTTCAGTGTTTTACTGTCCAATGGTAAGTATAGTTGGTGTCCTTTCTGTAATGCTGGAGAATGGGTACTTTGGTATTTGAGCAGAAATCCTCATTGCAGACCAAACGTGACAAGGAGAAGCTGTTGGAAACCAGCAGCAGTTTTCAACAGATTCTCCTTGCTGAGTGTATTGCATGCTTTCTTCTTTTTTGTTTTGTCTTTTGTCAGATTTTTTGGCTTGCTAATAATGTTACTGACTTATTTAATACATTTTGAGTTGATATTACTTATTTGTTTTCAGGAGAGTCTATGGTAAGGTGATGAGGCACAGTCGGACAGATGATATTGACTTTGTCCAGATGATCTGTTAATCTTGCATTTTTCTTGCTCTAATATCTTCTGAATCCTGATATGTAATATCAGCAAGAACATCTTTTTGTTGCGATTCTCTGTCATTTTTGGAAAATGTGCTTACTGAGGGAAGGTGTTATAGATTGTGAAGTGTTTCAGTCGCTGCTGCTGGTTCTGAATTTGACACAAAAGGACTTCAACCTCAGAAAACCTCATAAAATTGTGACTCAGCTGACTGGAGTCGGACAGATTTTATGATGATGGCAAGATTTTGATGTCTTGTTGTTTCTGCGTATGTAAAAACTGTCTTTTATTTGCACAAGTGGACTGAAACATCATATTTATAAGATATTAATTTATTTTAAGCTCAATAAATTGTGTAAAAGCTTTCTAATTGAAATATATTACAGATGGGTTCTCTGTGAAAACGTGGTGCCTTCAGAAATGTAGCTACAGCCCCTTCATCTGCAGCTGTTTATTTTATGTATTGTGCTTAAAGACATTTTTTGTTATACCCCTTTTCTTCAAAAGAATCAACTTTTGGTTAGTAAAATTATATTCCTTTTCCATGGTACTTGAAAGTTTGAATTTCCAGTTTTCAGAACAAAAAGAAATGCTCTGGAATGCCCTATGAAGTTTGAACTTCTAATTGGAAAGTGAGAAGTTTGGCTGCTCTGCATGTAAGATGTAGTTAAATATGCAGAAATAACCAGTTTATTTGTTTTTCTGTTATATCAGTCCTTCACATTGTGCAATATAAGATCTATTTTGGGATTATGGTGAGTGCTGAATGGTTGAACAGTTGTTTGTGATATTGCCCTGTAGTAAGAAGCTTCATGTGAGCACTCCCACTCCCTCCATTCTCCAAAAATATGCATGTTATGTGTAAATGGCTACCTTAACTTGCCTTGGGATTGAGCATGTGTGTGCATAATGGTTTCTCTCTCAGTTTTACCACTGGGATAGACTGGTGACCAGTCCACCTCGTACTTACCCTTATGGTCCCCCACAGAAAATAGTGTAGAGACTGAATGGATGGATGTTCATTCAGTGTATAAATGCTTACATTTTACAGAATATTTTAAGAAGTTTTGTGAAATGTTATTGGCAGGTAGTATTTAATCAGGGTTGTTCGTCAACTCCACTGGTTTTCTGCTTTACAACAGGAACAATGCTACATTTCAAATTGGAGCCTTTGTTTGGGAATTATGTAACACCTGAGTTAATCTTGTTTTATAGGAAGCTGGCAAGCAGGTGATGTTTTGCTTCAAAGAGGTCCTACAAGTTTGTTGTATGCATCTGAACAAAGACGAAATATGCAAATTAATGCCACACAGTGCTGGGTATGCCATAGGTCAATGAGATCCAAACCATCAGAAATTAAAACGTACAGTTTATTCCTGCAATTCATGCCATGTCAATATGCAGAGCAGCCACATTGACTCTGATTCCTTACTCCCCAATTGAAAGTTATGACTTCAGAGAGTGCTGTATTTGATATTTAATTTTTCTAACTTGTAACTTGGTCGTTCTGCCTTCCTAGTTCAGGTGGAATTGTATGTGATGTAATTCTAGGTCCAGATTTCAGAGGCTGTTGAAACACCAATTTTTGCTAATTCATTCAGCAATTGAGCAGGTACACAATGAGCACAAAGTGAATGTTTAAGAAGCTATGTTTCGTCATTATACCACAGAGTATAAAATGTGCACTTTCTAGTTATTTTACAAAGCACTTTGAACTTTTGGGTGTGTTTTATTCTTTTACAAGTTAATGTGAATCACACAGCCTAAGTTGTTAAATGTTTTAAGTGTAAAGGAAGCAGCATGTGAAGAGTTACCTAAATTAGCCTGTCTAATGTACAACCTGTAATTTTGTTCCTTGAGTTTTGCACAAAAGTAAAATGGCCTATATACTGCAGTGTCCCAGTATTTTTGTAGAATCAGATGCCGTGTCAGACGAAAGGCTTTGCAACGTCAGGAGGGACTGTGTTTTTAACTAGTAACATTTTATTTGTTAACATCAGTGTTAATACTGTTTCCTCTCACTTTTCTTCTTCACTGCTTCCATGTCCTATTAATAGTCTCCACAGTGGCCCGTGTTATTCACCCTGCCTCCACTGCCACCACATGTAATTTGAGCCCAAAACACCATCACTTTCGTAGCATCTTTTGAACTTCAGAAGAAACTGTTTGGCTGACATTTACTTTTCACAATACAGCTCAACACATTTTAATACTTTGCAATATGCTGTGATGCCATCATTTAAAAAAAAAAAAAAAAAAAAAAACTAAAAGAAAATTATTAAAGGTTCCAATGATGTTTTTTGATTGTTTGTTTTAAGAATGGGGATTCTCTATTTTACTTTGTAATTTAGAGTGACATCAGGGACAGAGCACTTCCAAATAAAACACAATTGTTTGTCGAACAAATAAAATAAACTGATGCAACTGCAATGATGTTTTTTGTTGTTGAATATTTTCCTCACATTGTTAGATTACAGATTTAAACACAAACAAGGTGTAGCACATCTGGATTTGATTTGAATTTACATTTCAACCTGATGTGCATGTATTTAACTGTAATTATTATGGTTGAGTGAAAGAAATAAACTAATATTCAGTGTTTCTTCTCGTCGAATTGTGAAATCCTATGTTACAATATTTTACATCCCACGACATTTATATGTAATGACTACCTATAAACTGTTGAATTTGGTTTGGGGTGACTCAGTTGAACTGTTGGAAATATTTATAAATATCCCTGTGAACCATACCCTGCAGAAATGCAGATTTCAGTCGGATTTTCAAGGATGATCTGAATCACGTGCCTTGGGGTCAGACGCTAATCGAACACTCTTTGCTGTTTTCTTGGTGAAAATATTAAAATCAGATCCAGGATCAGTGACTGCGGACGTCGATGCCACAGAATGGTAAACAAAGGGCGCGCAAATCCCCCCACGGTAGCGCGAGATCACCACACGGCACCTGCTGCGCTGCTGCTACAACACTCCGATTGGCTAACTGACGCGTCAGTCAAACATGATGCCGCCTACCGCCTTTCACCATTGGCTGACGGTACAGCCGTTTGTGTGAACGTCAATGTGATTGGTCACCACGCCCGTTAGCTGCCCCATTTAGGGCGGAGAGCTGCCGCCGCATTCATGAGGCGGGTCTGCGGCTAAACTAAAGGCTTTCATTGGAGTCCTCTCGCTGTTAAACCCCTCTGCTCGCACTTGGTTGGTCCACCACCAGGAAAAAGCTGTTCGGGAATGAAGCCGTCGTCGTCGCCCTCAGTGCTCTCCACTTTATTCCCACCGCGGAGAGTGTGCGGCTCCGCTCATAGAGCAATGCCATGATAAAAACCGCATATGCGGTAAGGCTACACACCTACCAGGCAGGGAAATATCCACGAAACAACCTCACTCCGTTTTCTCCTCACACCGCAGCCTTATCCACCACTCACATCGGAACCTGAAGGTGAGACATTTAATTACCTTTACCCTAATCCAACTCGTAAGTAGCCGGGGCAATATCCTTAAACGTCTCGTATTTCAGGGGAGCTGGCTAACCTCGCATGCTTAGTGAATGTGAGCTCAGAGCCTTAACATGAAACATTAAGGAGGCTGACGACGTTCATGTTGGTTTAAAAATGCCCTCTGTTTCATCTTAGAAACTCGACCTATATATTAATAGGCTGTAGCCACGCTGATTCATTTTCCTAATACATGAATAAAATCATGTAAGGGTGAAAATGGATGATTTCATCAATTACAAGCTGGAGATGCTTCACGTCTTCCGCCCAAGGTGTGGTTCTCTTCCTTAGTTTTGTGTCTCAGTTCTGAATTATGCCGGTTATTTTTAGGCTCCACGCCGCATCTGTGTGCCTCTGCAGCCCGGCCTGTGTCATTATCACAGCCGCTGGCTTTAACATGTCACATTTCCTCAGTGTCTGCCTTCAAAAAAAAAAAAAAAAAAAAAACAAAAAAAAAAAAACAAAGAAGAAGTCGTATCAAAGCTGAGAGAGGAATAAAAAAGGCGTCTCCAGCTCCAGCATCGCCACCAATATACACGAACAACCTAATAATTACACACCCGCAGGAAGACAGACAGAGAGACAGACAGACAGAGGAGGTGGACCCCGCAGTGGATGACCTCAGTTCCAACTCAGGGGGTATTGTCTGTGGGCTGCTTTATTATGGGGTGTTGCTATGGAGGAGAGCAGTCAGGTTTTTGGCAACTCCAGCTGCTGCAGGAGTTTAGCTGTTCAGTCCACGCTGTACTGCGACAGCCTGAGGTCTCTGTCTCTCTGTCTGTCTGTCTGTCTGTCTGTCTGTCTGTCTGTCTGTCTGTCTGTGTGTGAGTGTCCTTTAGGAGGAGGATACATTGCAGCTATATGGCAGGCAATGCAAAGCCCTCCACTGTGATTGATGAGAGAGCACTGATTTGTATTCAGATTATTTAGTGACTCACTTAGGCAGTGCCTTTTTCACTTATGATGTCATCAGTGGCTTTGTTTCATTTCCCTGTCAAGATATGTTTCTAACAGGCATGGACTGGTAGGAAATTCACACCTCCTGTTCTGATAACCTTGATTAGAAATAAAAAAAAAAAACAATTCATGATATGATCTAGTTGCTTTTATTTAAAACAAAAAAGCACGACTTATTCTTGCTGTTGCCATTACTCGTTAAAATATTGATTGTTACAGTTATGCATTTATTTTAGTGTTACTTATTCAAACACCACAAGCAAAAATCATAAACTAGGCATGGGCTGGCATGACATTATTACTGCATGATAACATTGTGTAAAAATACTACGATATAACGGTTTTCACACAAAGGTGTAAGATAACGTGACGTCACATTTTTTTATTGTTTCTTTAATTAAAAAAGAAACAATTACTCTTGCTTTTATATATAATAAACATAAACATCGCCATTAAGATAGGATAGTATGTCATTCAAAACTCTACTTAAGCTAAGTACTAACAGCCCTTGCTGACCATAACACTCCTTATTGTGGATGTTGTTATTGAAGGAAGTCTTGAAGTTTGCTGTCAGGGAGACGTGTCAAGAAGAAATTAGACGAACCAAAAAGGATGCACAAACCTATTTGTATAGAAACATTTTAAAGATGCTTCTTAAAAAGCAATATCTTAATAAGAATGATTTGTGACTCCTTTGTTTTCCACACTATAAGTCTTGTTTTTATGTGACAATAACTATTCTTTATTGTAAACCAGGGAAAGGTGTTCAGGCATCTGACCTTCAGTGAGCAGCAACAGGTAGAGGAGAGTTCAATAGTTTCTAACATTAATTTTGTTAAAGGGTTTTTAAAGAAACCTTTGACATATATAATAAGACAACCTATAAACTAATTGAGAGCGTTTCTTCATACTTCATAGCTCCATACTGACTGTCTGGGTGGTGCCAGTTCTTTTGTGGACATGTTTGCTCCACGCCCAGTGTTGAATTGGAGTTGCAGGTGTAGGTTGGGAGTAGAGATATAAAGAGGCGGAGGAAAAGAGTCGTACTGAGGCACATAGCAGGAATCAGGCCTGATGACATACCTGCAGTGGCACAGAGATGCCATATTACCTAGCACATTCCTTGTACAAATTTGGACATTAAGCTGCCTGTTGGATCAAAGATGAGGTTTGTCTCATTGCTGCTGGTGTCTTTTGTATTTCTTGTGTCTTCTTGTTCCTTTGAAGTGTGGTTATCCTTATGGTTTATCCATTTCAGAGCAAATTTAGCAGATTCTGGTAGATATTTCAAAAGTATTTCAGGACACCGTCCCGTGATATAGATCTATAGCAGCGGTTCCTGAACGTTTCAGCTTCTGACCTACAAGGGAAACAGACTCGTGACCCAGATTATTGGTTGAGTATGCAAGTACTTTCACTAAGTCAATAAACAGGGGGTACAGTGACAATCAACGGCAATAGCCAATAAATTATTTTTATAATTTTTTTTTTCCTATTTCTTCATAGCATGTTTTCCAATTATCCTTTTTTGTTATTTCACTTCCAGATCTTAAGCTGGTCTACTTGTTTGATCATCTTTTCATGACCTCTTTTGCATATTGACTGCCAGGAGAGATTCCAGGAGCCTGTGATGTTCACTTAAAATGTTATATTTTGTGTCCCCAAAGCTTTAATTCCTAAACTCAGCCAGTTTTGTGTGATAAAGTCTACATTTTCTGCTGTTTCATCCATTATAAGAAGCTTTCTCATTGAACTAATGCTTTGTAGTTGTTGGAATAAATTTAGAAACATCCTGTTGTTGTGCTGCAGTCAGTCTGACTCTGGATCGCCTTCATGTGTCAAAGCTTTAACCACTTTTAGCAACTGTCACCTCCTGTCTCCCAGGACCACCAGCCCCTAAAGCGTTTTAGCGTTTTGACTTTCCACTACATCCTTCCATGCATTCCTTTCTAGGGTTTTATCTCTGCTGGGTTCAATGGGTTGTAGTGGAAGGAGGTGCTTTAAACTTGGAGTTTGATTTGTTTTGAACTTTCTCCTCACATCCCTCCCCCAGCTTTCCTGTCATGTCAGTTTACTCGGTCGATTGATGTGTCTCGCTGTTTCTCCAAACCTCCCTGCCTCCCTCATTCCCTCTCCATCCACAAATCTCCCACTTTCTCTTCCATTTTCATCTTCCTCTTGATTTCCCGCATCTCCCATTTAGGCCATCCTCTGTCCAGCCTCGGGTTTAAATGGGCTGGATGTTACTTGCATGCTACCGCAGCTCCTTCTGCACACGTGGGTGCTGAAGCGTGTGATCTCTCGTCACAGAATCCCATCAGCATCTCCGTCCGCAGAACGAAATAGTTTTTAATCTCACTTCTCGTTTCTCATTTTCTCACAGTGCCAGCAGTACCATGTCCAGGCCAACAGGGGGCGTCGCCAACGATGTCACCCGCTTCCTGTCATCAGGCGTGGGGACGAGCTCTCCCAGCGCCAGTTCTTCGATGTTCTCCGCCGCCAGCCAGGCCGACTGGGCTGCCAAGAGGCTGGTGTGGGTGCCGTCGGAGAAGCATGGCTTTGAGGTGAGCTGTCACGGGAACACCCCGACTCCTCAGCCTGTTCTGTTTACCCGAAATATTAAATTTAATCCACGAGCATCATCTGGACCCTGACTCACTGTCTCATTTATTGCATCACCTCTTCAGGTGTTAAAACACACAGGGCGTTGTGACAGTAAGCCATAATGTCAGGGCTCAGAACCATTTTATCTTATTACAACTTGTCCCAACATTCTTTCTTTTCACTGTCTTAAGTTTCATCGTCTTGTAAATTATTTGCCCCAAGTCTGTTCCCTCAACTTACAGGTGTGTCAGACAGGTGACGTAAAGAAACACAGGGTGTGTGTGTGTGCTTTTGTCTTTATGGTAGAAGCTCTTTAATCCCTGTGACAATGCTCTAGTTTCTACTTCATTCATTATTATTCATA